AATTTTTTTTTTTTGCTATAGATGATACGGTGATTAAGAAATCGGAAAGTGCAAATCGTTTATCTGAGGTACAGAAATATGCTCTTGCTTATCATGAGATATGAAGTCAAGTTTGATAAAATTGTTTGCTTTGTTCGTCCGATTTCGTGTTGGCGTGGATACGAGTCATTGCCTTTTTTTCATACCACTGTGCAGAGTGATATCAGTGGTTTGGTGTCACAATTGAAAGAAATGCAACAAAGGAACTCAAAGCTGGAGGGGACAAACTCGGAATTGACCTCATTGGTACCCAAGTATTCCAAAGTTTGAGTGTAAATTATTACATGTGCAATGCTCTCTAATGCGGTGAAGTCATCATGATTACCACTTTCTTATTATTCTTTCCCCCCCTTTTTGACTATCCACCAGCTGCAGAGGAAGGAGGTGGAGATTGATGTGCTGCAGAAACGTCTCGCTGATCTGGTACTAGCTCACCTTGATCTGATATGTATAAATTTGGACCGATGAGATTTAAGTGAATCTTTGAATTGAACAAGTTTGATATAAAATCTATTGCATACTCTATATTTACCATTATACAGAAGTAGATTGCCGTGCACTTGCATGCAAATCCACACACATATCTGGTTAGGACAAGATGAAGTATGTTATATCTGGTTTCTGCTGTCCTATATTGGTACTAGAACAAACTAAATGTACATCTCAAGCTAATCGTATCCCAATTACTGTTGAAAACGTTGTCTTGCTAATGAATCTGATTGCAACCGCAACCGCAACCCCAACCCCCCCCCCTGGCGCGGCACCCCCCACCAAGAAAAAAAAAGAAACAAAAAAAGGCATAGATAATTGTTTCATTAACCATTTACTAGGAACATTTCCCAGTTAAAACCCTTTGCATGGATTCTAGAACAAAGGATGAAAAAGAATGCGAGGTTGGTTTGATTTTGGTGAGTTTGGTTGATGAAGTCAACATAAAGTGCCTGTAATGCGTTCTGGCTAACTTCATTGTTTACTGTTTTTTGAATCCGATGAGATGATTGATGGTAATAAACTTGATTTACATAAAAACAAAAGGGTCAACCTCCTCATGCAGGTTCATAGCATGTTTAGAGAACAAAAGAGTCAGGAAACATGATTGTCTGAATTCTATTATCTATTAGATATTTTCAACTCTTATTGCTTCCACCCTCGTCATATATTATTTAAACCTCCCGTCTTGTCTTGTATTGTATTGTATTGTATTGCCTACAGAAATCACCTAGGGAAACATAAGTTACTAGTGAAGCTCTATAGATCTGAAAACAACACCTGCTAGATATTTTTTGTATTTAAAATTCAAATTTTATAAGATGCTGAATGTAGATTCTGACCCTATGTCATACATGTTATGTGCCATCAGTCATAACATAATCAATACCATTTTTCGCTGTGTGCCATTTGCAGGAGAGTACAGTGCCCTCGCTGAGGAAAGCTCTTAAGGATGTTGCTATGGAGAAAGATGCTGCAGTTGTTGCAAGGGTACTCTATTGGCCACTACCGTAATTTTTCTATGCAGACCTTTATTCCCACCCCTTCATATATAACTTTTGTTTTGCATAGGAAGATCTCTCTGCACAGCTTCGTGCACTAAAAAAACGGATGAAAGAAGCAGAAGAAGAACAGTACAGAGTAAGTAAGCTGGAAGCTCTGTGGTTAATCTAACAAGTATTTGCACATTCTGTTGTTTGGTCTTGCATATGCTCACACAAATTTTTGATTAGGCTGAAGAGGATGCCGCTGCATTAAGGGCAGAGTTGAACACATTGCAACAACAAGCAATGCACAATCATCCAGGTGACATGGTTGCAATGGGATATTCATTCGACCAGATTCAAGCCTTGGAGAAAGAGTTATCCAACTTGAGGTCGAAGCTTGAGGTTGGTTTATAAATGAACGTCGTTTGCTTGTTTCAGGAGATAATCTTTATTTGAATCATATAACTATTTCCTATTTTTGAAATTTTGTAGCAAGAGATATTATTGAGACAGCAAGAGCATCAACACTTAGCAGAGGAACAAGCACGGACATCTGCCCTCATAATTCAGAAACAAGAGCTTGAAGAAAAACTCGCATCTGCATCTGAGAAGGCCTTAGGTATGGGAAGTGCTTGGTTTAAAAAGACCTATATTTTATTGTATCATCTTGTTATTCATGATAATACCCGATCCTAGCCAACATGACATCCTCTTCTGTGGAACCCATCTGGATTGTATGATTTATGACATGATATGAACTGATGTCTTGCACTGCCTCTTCATAGAGGGCATGCCTACAAATATTGTTCTCTTTCTTTTTCCTTATATCTTGAGAAACATTTTCTTACTGCTGATATATTGCTCTGGTAATGACCACTAGTCCATGATGCATTTTGCATTTGTTTTATCTTTCAATTTGCAATGTAATTTTCATAATTTATCTTCACCTTACAAACTGTAGACAGCAAACAAGGAGGAGGAAACCAGCCTGCGTTTACCTTGGTGAGAATTATTGACTTGTCACAATTTAGTTTAAATAGAGATACCAGTTCTTGTATCTACTGGAATAACATTTTGTTATTGCAACAACTACCTCTTAGGGTGCGTTTGGTTGCAATCCATGATTAGACAAGGTTATTTCCCAAAGCATTTCCTTAGTTTATCAAAAGGAAATAACCAACAATATTAAGTTGCCCGGTTGCCTGATTAGGAACTAAGATATCACTTTTAATAATTAATAAGTAGTTTGAAATTCCTAATAGCATATGATAGTATGTATATATGACATCAATGATGAATTCATATACACATCTCCAAAATCAAGAACTGGGAATCATAGAATAATAGTTCAACTAGACATAGATGATATTTTCATTGGCGAAAAGGAAATCCACCTGCTGCTTACAATGAGAAATCCTTCTCATTTTTTTTTTTTAATTATATTTCTGGTTGAGCACAACGCTTTTCTAAATGAGAATGGCTTGTCAATTAACGACAATAATAATATGAGATCTTGTGTTTCTGTCAATATAATTTGATGGGTGAACATGCAAATTCTTTTTGTGTATAATGAAATCTGAAATTAAATTTAGGGAATTAAAGTAAAAGAAATAAAAAATGAAAAAAATGCCAATAAAAAAATATAGCAAGATACTGATGTGTAATATTCATAAAAGACGACAAAATTTTGTTAGAAACTTACAACTTGCAGGATCAAACAACAAATTTCTACAAATTTCACTTAAATTACCGTGTATATCTACTCGGAAGGTTGTAACACGTAAGATGAAAATTTACAAGATTTCATTGGAGAAATATGAAAAATAGGAAAAAAAAAGAAGATATTCGAGAAGAGTATAATCATAAACACAAGAAATCTACGAAGGAAAGAAAAACCTTGCAAAATATTGAAGATGTTGCACTTGATGTTGTATGGCTCAAAACCGGTTGTTGCTCTTCACATTCTTCCACCTTCCACTGCTAATTTTTAGGTTCTTGCAGAAAGGCAGGCAAATTGGCAACTTGGACGAGTAGTCCACCTGGTTATTGGCCAGGAAGTGTAAATTGCTCATTCACATGAGTCAAGTAAATGGGGTAGTATTATGTCCATCAAATATGGTGGGATATGGAATAAATCTCTGGGAATAAAAATCGGGCTTGGGTCATTTCATGGGCCTTTTCAGTGTCAACCATACAATTTAAATGTGTTTATTTAATAAGCTATGGTATATTACCTCCAATAAGGGCAACCAAATGCACCCTCCCTCCCCCAACTGTATCAATTATTAATTGTTACTTTGGTGCCAAATGTCCTTCTTCTGAACAAATGTTAGATATAATATCAGGAAGATAAAGAGAGACTTGAGAATCAATTGCATGATATGGCAGTAGCTGTTGAGAGATTGGAAAGCAGTCGACAAAAACTCCTAATGGAGGTACAAATTTTGATTTAGTCTATTTAACTTTTAGACCTGTAACTCATTGTTCTTGAGTCTTTGCATGCAGATTGACTCACAGTCTTCTGAGATAGAGAGATTATTTGAAGAAAATTCGAGTCTCTCATCTTCTTATCAAGAATCAATAGGATTAGCCGCACAATGGGAGAACCAGGTACTTTCCTTTATGCTTGTATTTATTCATATACGCTTTCTCTAGTTATTTGCATAATTTATATGCCTTCGCTGCTTGATGAATCTCTTCATGATATAATTTACCCTGTGCTGAAGGAGATGACCTACCCTTATAAGAATGCGGCAAGTTACTCTTCTGTAGCATGACACTTATATAAGCTTCTTGACTGAAGCATTTCCTTTGTACTTGTGTTCCATGCAGGTGAAAAATTGTCTACAACAAAACCAGGAACTTCGTAGCATGTTAGATCAGTTACGGATTGAGCAAGCTAATATGTCGGGTCCCACTGGTAGTAATGCTCCTCCGGTGACTGAATATCAGAATGGGTCTGAAATGTATTCCCTAAAGGTAATACCTTGTTCCTCGTTATGTTTATTTCTCTCTGTTTTGACCTTAAGAGAGTTCCTTGGCACTCAACCTCAATAAATCCTTTACAAAGCTGGCTTACTGCTCCCACTCCCTGGTATCTGTATTTGCGAAAAGGTTATGTTACAATAACAAATTAGTGAAGCTTTACAATAGGTCTGGAGATGGAACATTTTGTTTCTTGGGTTGCACTTTAATTTCTAACTGTTCTGCAAATTCTATATTTTCAATAAATCAATTTCAAATGCACAGGTAGTTCATGTGAGCAATTCCTCCGTTTACTTATGGTAACTTTACACAGGGCCAGCTAGCTAAAGAACAAAGCAGAGCAGAAGCGTTATCCGCTGAGGTCATGCAGCTCTCACTACGTCTCCAGCAAGCAATACAAGCATATAATGCTCTTGCCCGCCTGTATGCTTTTCTACTCAATTGCTTATAGACTAGTTTTCTTGTTTTCAGATTTTTTTTGCTTGGGTCATTGATTCCAACTATTTACAGGTATAACCCCGTTTTGCGGAACATTGAGAATGGTCTTTTGAAGATGAAGCAAGATGGCGCAGTTACTGTGCAGTGATGATAAGAACTCGGTTTTTGTAATTTTTCCAGATTGGAGATATTTATTTGTTAATATTTTTATGTTCAAGTTAAAGAGCTCGGTTGATGGTTAATTGGTTGATAGCAGACGTTCACTGCATGAGAAAGTATTTGTGTTCGCTGTACCTGGAAGTATTAATAAGAGTGTTCAATCGCCTTTTTTTGGTTGTGACAACGATATTTGTTCTTCCTTCGTTTCCTTTGTTTTTATCTTTTCTGGTTTTGATGTTTGTATGGGGTTGTGATCTTTACCAACATAAACTTTGCAACATTTCTCTCCAATTTACTACCCTAAAAAAAAGAAGGTAATGTTTCGTGTGCATTAGAACCACAAAAATATAACGTTAGTAATTCATACAGATGGATATTTATACATGGTTGCTTTTTTATAGACTTCATTTTTGTGTGGTGAATTGCTATTTACCGTCCCCTTTTACTAATCATCGCCCCCCAATTACGTTTTTGCCCTTATGACTATCTCTCTACTTTCTCTCTCTACTCTTTCCCTCTCAACTTTTCACGGCTCTTTTGACCGTAAAAAAAAAGTCGAAAAAATCCAAAAAAAATACCATGACATCGGCAAGACA